CCGCTATTCGGCTATCGTTAATCGGATCATGAAAAAAATGCATGTGCATATGTCCCATATAATGTGTGATGTATGAGTGAAGTTTGAACTTAATCGGTCCATGCATGTTCGAGATACAGGTGATCACGGACGAACGCACGGATGGACGCACACAGGGCAAAACATAAGTCCCCGTTTTCGGACTGCGTCCGAACGGAGACTAATAAAAGACAACATGCATGAGGGAAACGAATTACAGTTGTAAAAAGTGCCGCCATGAAATCAACATGTGACTACGTAGTGGCGCCGGATTTTGATTTCTTTGCTGTGAAAAATACTACACACAAAGGGGAAAACGACACGAGGGTAAAAAAAGACAAGGAAAACTTATCCTACCAGCTACCATGTCGGATGCCGAGCAGCGGCAACAACCCAAGCTATAAATCCGGACAGGAAAAAAAGCAGGCGATCCAGCAGAGCTCGCTAGATTTCATCTCCACTCGAGGCGGAGAGAAATTAAGAGTGAAGGACGGCTACCTGTGGCGCTGCCAGGTGGCCTCGGTCACGTGGGTTCGTGACGTAAGGGGTAAAAGAATCTTGAGGTCATGGGGCTTCCCCTGACCTGGATTCTATCTCTCCGTCACCGGCAGAATCGCTGATTAATGCCTACAGTTCAAAATAGTCATTTTGACTGACCGGAGTCTATGGTGGGTAATTGAACGTAGTGAATCTGGGTATGATATATGCCAATCAAACATGCATTTCCTATTGGTACATGTACGGGTTGTCACCTTCCTAACAAACATATGACCATATTTATACCTACAAGTAGGGGTTGCCACCAACATGTAGGTACGGTAGGTAGAAAATTTATACCCATATTTATACAAAAGTACAATTTGCACACAATAGGTGATTTTAAGTTCAACCCTGAGATCTCACGAATTGCGTGAAAGACTTGGGTCAAACGTCTGCAAAAGGTTCGCAAAAAACGAACGATTTGATTTTTAACGCAAAATATTTTTTTAAAGCTCAAAGTTAAAAGTCAATCTTTGAATGGGGAATATTGCGTTTAGATACCCTTACTTCATCAAAATTGGCCATCATTAAATGTGTACAGCACATTATTAAGCATGGAAATATCCCCTTAAATACTTTCGCGGTTGTTGAATCCCACGCGATGTTTGACATCTCTACAATGCTATGACCTTTGTTTGTCCTGCTTTTACGTTTGATTTCAGGCATAACGCAGGATCTCGCAGTGAACGGAAAATGGTCTATTTCTGTCATTGCCATATTTTTACCAACACCAAAACAGCGACATTGCTAGGTAAGTTGCTGAGTGGTTTGCTATGTGCGCCTGGAGATCGCTACGCAAGTAGAACAAGTTGGATCAAATTAACTTCACCAGGACCTGTCAATCTAATAGTGGGGGACTCGGACATGTTGAATATAAATACAATGTAGAAGATCAGGATGCGATTGCCTTTCAATTTATTTCATTAAATCACATAACTTTCTATATAATCAAATGAATGGCAAAGTTATGTACTAACACAGTATGAAACGTCAGGACACAGTTGCTGGTGTGATTGGTGCATGTCATAAGTCTTGTAAATAAACGTATTTAGTCGAACGATGCACCCTTGCAAAAGTGGTTCGAACTAATGAGTTCTAATTATGTGATGATCTCGAGATGCGCTTAGCAAACCAGTAAGCAACTTAGCTGGCAATGTTGGTGTTTAGAACAATATGGTGGTGACAGTAAGTAAATAGATCAGATTCTTCATAATGACCCTAATCAAAGAAAGATTAGAGAGAAAGAACTCCTGTACGCTGGTAATAAGGTACTGTATTCGCTGCATCAGTAGCCCCCTCACCCTTCCATAGTCTAGCTGGGATGAAATGAAAAGAAACATGGTTCATACTCACTTTTTCAAGTTTGCCACGGTTTATGTCTTTTGGTAGAAATGGCACACTGATGTGTTTCAGATCACGCTGCAGAAAAATTACAGTGGGATTTTTAAATTTATAATTAAATTACACTGTTCACTGAAAACACCATGTACATGTACAATGAGTTAACACCTGCTTAGGCATCCAATAACATTGGACTGGTACTAAAATCGACACAGAATTGTTGTCATGTCATCAGCGAAGAAAGTGTTGCTAAACTTGGTTATAATTTACTTTCCAGTATGTGTTTTTTGATACAATCAAACACCAATGAAGTATTCAACATGATATTTAGACAAGACAAAAATTTATACAGCGCCCTCAGTGTTCAAAATTGAGTGAAGGTTTGGTTATTTTTACTCAAGCATTGTGAATACTCCCAGGACAAAATTTTATCAGGCACCTTGTTACAAGCATGTGCAAGTGGTTTACAGATAGACCACTACAAACAGCATCTTTGGCACAATGCATACTAGATCACAACATTCTTTATTTAGTAAATGACAACATTACACTTACATCAAGGGCTGCCTTAATAATGACATCAATATTTTTGCCATCTTTTCCATCGGAGCACTCGGATATTCCTGCTTGGGAAAGGTGCCTAGAGTTATTTGAACAAAAAAAAATAAATATAGTAAATACAAAACAATATACATGTATGGTAACTATTAGAGGATGCCATATGCAGGGCTTTATTTTCACATGTGACTACCACGATAGTTGGTGATACAAGTATAAACAAAAGACAATAAATCAGTTGTAAAAAGCAACAATGTTTTATTACTTTGTGTTTGGTGTAATTACTATAATTTGTGTATTAAATAAAAGTTGTACATGTTTTACTCAACACCGTTTTTTTTGTTTTGTTTCTGTTAACGATGCCCCCTGAGTCTCTGAGACGTTATTTACATATCGCTTCACTCGAGAATCTAGTTCTCCTAAAAGTAGAGGTCCACCCCGTTTAGCATGATGAATACTGGTTACTGGTTGAGTTCTTGATTTTTGGACTTCTTTGGTGTAGGCTTCTGTCACAGATCAAATGATACTTTCATTTATGGATTACCAAAAAAGACAGTGAAATGGCGCACTGCTCTGGAATTGTCATTTTCTGCCTGAAATTTGGCAATCTTCGCATGGAGTTCTGGACTATAAACTTCATACTGCCCATGCTTTCGTTTTCTGCCATGAAAACCCAAGGTTGCGAGAACTTGAAATGTTTCATCGGGATTGTCAGTTGACACTGGATCTGGAAGACCAGGCCTAAAGGTGGTAGCAACGGGATTTCGTATGAGACAACGCAACACCCTGAAACATAAGGAAGTCAGTACACCCGATGAAAACAACTTGAATACTGAGGCAACAATTGCCAAAACCCAGGCTTAAATGCACAATATTACAATGAAAGTATGAAATACAGTGATAAACACGTCTGTTGTCTTTGATTAGGACTCTTCAGTATCAGTATGGACCATTTCCTGTGCACGTACAACATCTGGTCACGCCACAGTCCCTTTGAATTTCAAAAAACAAAGCACCTATCACCATTTTTAAAATTTGTCCCTCAAGTTAAAATTGTGAAAATTTATCGTTACTAACAACTCGGCAAACAAAAAATCGTGAATATTTCCAGCAGCAAAATTATTACGTTTTACAGTATGTTGCTGAGGAGAGCACACATTGGAACCTTCACTCATTCCATAAATGCTTCACTTTGCTGGCCCCTATATTAAAGTATATATAAATAATACTATGCATATTATCTTTCAACAATTGGTTCAAATATTTGGTTGGCAATCAGTCAGCTGTTGTGACTGAAGCTGCCACTAACTCAACCAATAATTTAGCATTAATGTTGCTTGAATACAAAATGTACATTTGTATGTCTACTTCTTTCCTAATAAACCTCATTGTCAGAGTTTGGGGCATCTATCCACAGTCACTTGGGGGCTGAAAATCAATAAATACTAATTTTCAAAAAAAAAATCATCCTATACGTATATAAAT